AAATAGAAATGTGACACGTGTGTAGAGTAAAACACAAGATAAAAGAATAACAACGAAGAGAAAGATGATTTAACATGTTGGTCCTTGAGAGGAGGAAGAACAATAGGCATCAAATATTATTCACTGTGGGCTCCTGATGTAAACCTCCCACAAGCTCAAAAAAATTTTCCCGCAATTGTATCGAAATGTATTATACTCTAACATTGTTAAAAAGTTGACTAATTTCCCTCTTGGATTAGAATTTCAGGGTGATAATCTTATGCATCAGTCAGGAATGTTCCTGTCGGGTTTGGAGACCAGTTCGACGACAGCATCATTCGCGTTAATGGAATTAGCGAAGCATGAGCAATGCCAGAAACAGGCAAGGAGCGATATTCTGAGGGCTATTTCTGAGCACGGTTGGAGCTATGAAGCTATGGACGATATGAAATATTTGGATCAATGTATAGCAGAAACTTTGCGATTGCATCCTTCAGTGTCTACCCTTGATAGGATATCGAAGGATGAATATAGAGTAAGGATTACAATTACCAGTCCTACAGTCAGACGAGGTGGGATCGATTTCGGAGGATTGAGAGAACAAGAAATGATGAAAAGAAATTCATTGATTAAGGCCCGGATGGAGTATCTCGGAAAGATATTTTACTCCAAAATTGGGATTCCTAATTACTCCGCCAATTAATTGTTTTTTTCGATAATTGTTAGCTAGCGTTCTAGTCGTTGATAACCGCTAGAACGCTAGCTAACAATTATTGAAAAAAACGATTAATTGCCAAAGTAATTAGAAATCCCAATTTTGGAGTAAATTACCGGTCCTTAAGGCCCGGATGGATTGTCTGAAAAGATAATTTACTTAAAAATTGGGACTTCTAATTACTCCGTCAATTAATCGTTTTTTCCGATAATTGTCAGCTAGCGGCCTAGTTGTTAACAACCGCTAGAACGCTAGCTAACAATTATTGAAAAAAAAACGATTAATTGCCAAAGTAATTAGGAATCCGAATTTCGAAGTAAATTATCTTTTCTAGATAATCCACCCGAGCCTTAACGTTGTGTATCGCGATAGTCTCTGCAAAAAGTTTATCCGCTGTGAAACGAACCAGTTTAGAACACACTCTTTTCACGGTATATAGTCGGACTTGATTAATTGCATTGTGCATGGATAGCTGAAGCATGGCTATATATTTTCCATATTAACTATTTTCAATTATATAAATTTATGGATTTTCGATAATTACATCGCGTAAGTCAAATGGTCAATCGATTTGATTTTTTTTCTGTATTCCCTCCCATGATGCATATTCCATGTTTTTTTTTTATTTCGAAAACTGTCGAGCCGTCGATATTTCAAAAATTTGAATCGGTTAAACTCTATTTAAACACGTGTAAAATCACTTGAATTTAAAAATATCTCAAGCTGAATAAGGTTAATCGCAGAATATTTTCTCTGATAATTGCCGGTCTTAGTGTCGGTTTTGTTGTACAGGACGAGAATTTATTTCAAAGAATTTAAGGTGACCAGATCCTTAATCAGGTGACGGAGACCCATCCAATCAAATATAAAACACCCAGAATGGTTTGGTGAACCTGAACTAGACATTTACCTTTTCTTATTATTTGGAAAGATCTTTTAGAATGGTTTCGCGTGGCGTACAATAAACAATGCTGCCATTCAAATACAAATTGAAGGTAGAAACTACGAATATGAAAATGCATCAATTTTTTGCAGGTACCAGGAAGTGACATTATTCTAGAAAGTGGAACGCCCATTTATATATCATTGTATGGACTCCAGAAAGACCCCAGATTTTTTGAAGATCCAGAAATGTATAATCCCGAACGTTTTCGAAAAGGCGAGCAAATTTCTGATGCTTATCTACCATTCGGTCTTGGACCGAGGATGTGCATTGGTAAGACACTCTTCTAAATGCCCAAATAATATAATAATCTGGGCATTCATAATACTTTTTGACTCATTTTTCATCACTTTCACTCAAAAAAATCAAATGAATGAATAAATGTAGCCATTATTTATCGATTTTCATTGATCGAAATTCTCAGGGCTGAAACTGGGAATGTTACACGCAAAAATGGTGCTATCTCTGTTCCTGAAAGACTACGAAATTTATCAGAGTCCAAAGAACAAATGTTATTTAGATCCACGATCCACGTTCACAACCGCTGCTAATGGAATCATCTTGCACCTCAAAAAAATCCAGACATAATGCATCAGCCATCATTTCACGGGATTTCATTTATAAAGCTAACATGTATGTTATTAAGTCTAATCAGTCTAATGTCGATAAAAAAATTAATATTAAACATTTTATTTATAATTTTTATTTCCTCTTTGCTATTGTCGACCACATATTCGATGAATTTGTACATGAGAATTAAATGCATATGTATTTGCGAGGATAACAAAGGTTTTTATGGATTTTATTTAAAGAATTGGGGGA